CTTCAGGTGGACTGTCCTCTTGTTGTGTCTTCAGGTGGACTGTCCTCCTGTTGTCTTCAGGTGGACTGTCGTCTTGTTGTGTCTTCAGGTGGACTGTCCTCTTGTTGTGTCTTCAGGTGGACTGTCCTCTTGTTGTGTCTTCAGGTGGACTGTCCTCCTGTTGTGTCTTCAGGTGGACTGTTCTCTTGTTGTCTCTTCAGGTGGACTGTCCTCTTGTGTCTTCAGTTGGACAGACATGTTGTTGGAACGTCCCCCTCATAATCAAATATTGTTGATGGAAATCATGCAAACGAGCAGAGCTGCAGCGAGGACACTCAGGACTGTCCAACCGACTGAATGTCCTCTGACAGAAGACAGAAATGTCTCAGGCTGCAGGACATGTTCCTCTTTTCTGGGTCACACGAGGTCCAGGAGGACGGGGAGGTTCTGGGACCCAGAGAAGGTTCTGGGGTCAGACCGGCTGACAGGTCTGCTGCAGGGGGGGCAGGGCCTCAGGACGGACCCCCGGTGTCTCCCAGACCGGCTGTGTGCTGCAGACCCCCCCATCATGAGCGAGTTTATTCACCACGAAGGACTTCTTCAGAAACCTGATTTGACTTTCAAATGAAGCCGCTCGGCGCGTCCGGCTGAACGTCGAGGTTTTTAATTTTTATCACAAAGTTTTTTGTTTTGGCTCCGAGGGAACGTTTTATTGAAGGTTCTGGTTCTGTCTGGTTTTATGTTTGTGTGGATTTAAGGCTCCGGACGGTTTTATTGTGCACAGTTAAATAAATTTTATGTATTTATGCCTTTTAGTGCCGTTTGCAGCAGTTTGTATAAAAATGAAATAAAGTTCAAATGAATCCAACAGTCTGAGCTGTTTCTCTTCAGGAAGTGCAGCTTTTTATTTTTATTCTTCACATTTTAAGGTTTTAAATTTATACGAAAGTTTATTTATAATCAAAATGAACAAACAGCTCAAACTTTAAATGTTTTCAAGGAACATTTTGTGGATTAAAGCTGTGATCGACACGTCTCCTGCATGTGGACAGCAGGTCACCTTTGACCTTTGACCTCTGTCTGGGGTAGGGGCGGGGCTATGGGTGGTCCCGGGGGGGGGCTCGGCCCACCTGAGCTACCTACAAATTTAAACATTTTTATTTTGTGCACTTTAGAAATGAAGAAGCCTCCACAATTTAAATTTTACTGTTAGAACTTAAATTTGGACACTTTGTGGAGTAAAACTGAAGAGAACAGATTTAAAAAATATATTTTTAATGTTTAGTCGTCTGAAGTGCTTCAGCTGTTCCAAAAAGATCGTTACTTTAAATAAACAACAGACCGGTTTGATTTTAATCTTTGATATTTCTGCCTGGCAGCACGGTGGCACAGCTGTAGAGCTGCTGCCTCTCAGTGAGAAGGTCGCCGGATCAAATCCCGTCCGGAGACATTTCATGGGTGGAGTTTGCATGTTCTCTCCGTGCTGCGTGGGTTTTCTCCAGGTGCTCCGGTTTCCTCCCACAAACCAAAAACATGCATGTTAGGCTGACTGACGCTGAATTGTCCCTAGGTGTCCCTGTGATGGACTAAGACCTGTCCATGTGTCCCTGTGATGCACTGAGACCTGTCCATGTGTCCCTGTGATGCACTGAGACCTATCCATGTGTCCCTGTGATGGACTGAGACCTGTCCATGTGTCTGTATGATGGACTGAGACCTGTCCACATGTCTCTGTGATGGATTGAGAACTGTCCAGGTGTCCCTGTGATGGACTGAGAACTGTCCAGGTGTCCCTGTGATGGACTGAGACCTGTCCATGTGTCCCTGTGATGGA